TCACGTGAGACTTTAAAGCATGCAAACACGCAATCTCGGTATATGAAAGTACAAGCTCTCGAAAAAATAACGCGAACGTTACGATAATGAAAATCACATTTGTTACATCAAGTTGACAAAATAGTATCGGCATAGCCTGAAGTTGGCTTAATTGGCTTGTTATAAATTTGGCAAAAGTACAATCGGACCTCCAGCCCGCTACGTTAAGAATCTCACTAATTGGCTGTTCCGCCTGTGTTGCAGCAGACGTTGATGCTGCTCGAGTGCTATGAGGTTTAAAAATGTTTATATCTATGCCAGACAATAGCATAACGTGTTTGAGCCAACGTCGTATTGTTTCCCGACTGACTTTCTTGTACGGCTTAATATAGCTGATAAAGAGCTGTCCATCATCGGACCGCAAAGTACCTGTGCGTTGTATATACTCTTTCAAACAGTCATAAACACATAAACACCTATCTGGGGCAAATGCCATCAACTTTATGACCTTGGCGGGATCCCCTGGTCTGCTTGTTTTTGTCAGTTCCGGTATTGTGAACGAGAAGGAGGAATCATTTTCCGTCATGTTGTGAGTATTCAGTAAATGGATAGTTTGTCCTCTTTGAGCGGACACCAAAGCAATCAACATGACAAGTTTATAAGTTAGATCTTTTAATGACAGGGATGAATTGGGCGACATTTCTTTTAATTTGTCCAACACGATACGGACATCCCAAATCTCAGTATATCGAGGTAAACTTGGTCTCGAGTTACACCCCGCGCATGAAACGAATGACTAATGGATGAGAGCCAAATGAATCAAATTCCGTAGAAATTAGAACCGAGGACAAAGCTGATCTGGCAGTGTTCAATGCGCTATAACCCAGGCCATTCTTGTTGTACAAAGCCGTCAAAAAATCTAACGCCTGCGCTAAAGGCGCTCGAACTGGATCAATCTTCCTTTCACCACAAAATTGAATCCATCGTTTAAGATAGCCTCGGTACTGCTTCCTGCTCCCATCTCGCCAAGAGTTGAGAATGATGGCGATAGCGTCAGGCGAAAGGCCTCTTGTTCGGAAAGATTGCTCGATAACTTTAAAGCCATCAGTCGCATTTTCTTGGCAAGAGGATGACGAGTTTGACTGCTCGAAAGGCGGAGAAGGTCGATGCGTTGGGGTAGGAGCAATGGTTTGGCTACTGCATTTGCAGCGCACGCGAAAACCAAGGTTGGGTTGGCCACAGAGGGAGAACAAATATGCCCGTGGTCGCGTTCAGATCCAGTTTTTGTAAACAGTTGGCTATCATGCTAAACGGTGGAAATGCATAGAGTAATTCAAATTGATGCCAATTGATAGAAAGTGCATCAATAAACTTAGCATTAGGGTCGGGCTGCCAGGAAGCGTACGGAGTAAGCTGGGCTGTAAGGCGCGAGGCAAATAAGTCGATGCTAGGCATGCCAAAATAAGTTGTAATAGTTTGGAATACAATTGGATCAAGCATCCATTCAGTGTTATCGCTAAAATTACGCGACTTTCTGTCGGCGATAACATTTTGCGCGCCCGGTAAATGTGTCGCGCTGAGCCAGATATTGCGGTCAATTGCCCATAGCCAAATCTGTTTAGCGATTTCATTGCATGGGGGAGATTTACTGCCTCCCATTGACTGAATATAAGCAACAGCAGTTGTGTTATCAAGTTGCATTTGAATATGAATATTAGCATCAGTTTTACATAAGGACTGCAAAGCAAATAAAGCTGCTTTCAGTTCTAGCACATTAATGTGGAGCGTACTTTCCACCTCAGACCAGCGACCCCCGGTGGTAACACCCTCACATACGGCGCCCCAGCCAAGAAGAGAGGCGTCAGATTGAACACACTTGTGTGGAGGGTCACGATTTATAGGATTGATGGCTGATTCTACATTAACAACCCACCATTGTAATTCTTGTTTTGCCTCAGGAGGCAGGGCAATTTTAAATGAATAGTTTCCCTTGGCGGCTCGAAGCCCAGCGCTCTTAGCTGATTCAAGAGCGCGATAATATAAAGGGCCGTACATTACGCCCGGAAAACTGGACACTATTAGACCAATAACTTCAGCAAGTTCCTGAAGGGACGGAAAAGTGGTTGAAATTAGTTTCAAACACATATCTTTGACTTTAGTTGCTTTTTTGGGTGTGAGACGCACAAGCATGAGCAATGAGTCTAGTATAAACCCGAGAAATACCAGCCTCTGTACTGGCTGTAAGACGGATTTGTCTGGGTGTAATGAACCCAACTTTTGTGAATAATGCTACCGTAGCCTCAATCGTACTAGAGCATTCAGTGATAGTATCTCCCTGAAGATACGTATCATCGATATAACCAAAGCACAAATGGCCGAGTTTCCTTAGGGTTGCAAATAAAGGTTTTAACAACTTGGTAAAAACTCTTGGCGCGCAAGCTAACCCATTTGGCAAGCACGTAAATTTATACATTCCATCACGCCAAAAGAATTTCAAAAATTTTTGGTGCTCTGGAGCAATGGCACAGTATAATAGGCATCTTTCAAGTCGACAGATGCCATATAACAGCCCGGTCTCATCATTTTAATTGCCGTTGTTAATGTGTCCATCTTAAAATGGTGGTATTCAACAAAGCTATTAAGCCTTTTTAAATTGAGGATCATGCGGTAAGTTCCGTCTTTCTTAGGACGCAAAAAGACAGTAGAAATGAATTCGCCCAATTCAGGCACACAGGGTTCTATGACCCCTTTCGCCAACAATTTCGACACTTCAGTGTCAATTACCCGCCGTTCAGGCTCAGAGAACGAAATCTGATTCGGAACGGTATGTTGGATAGGAGATACATTGTCAATAAGATCAATATGATAATGCGCGGCACAATCTAAAATCGTTTTATCTGAGGTGAGCTTGGCCCATTCGGGCAAAAAATATTTTAGCCTGCCAGCAATTTTTGCGGCGCAGACCTGAGATAAAGGTAATGATGAAGGATTACTCACGGTTACTGACGTGGTAGCAAGGGTTTGGAATTCCCTCTCTTCCTGTGCTGATGGTGGCGGCGCCGGTCGAAAAAATTATTCTGGCCGTGACGACCCCCTCTTGGAGCCTTTGACTTGTAGCTAAAAGTCGACGTTTTCTTGAAACCGACTTTGGGCCACGCGCTGACCAACTTTGTTGACCTCAGTCATGTCTTTGACTTGTTTCGACAAGTCATCCCCAAAAAGCCACGTAGTGACAGGATTCGAGTTGAGCACAGGGGCCGAAAATCTTGGTGGACTCCGGTTTGATACACTCGCGGCGCTTGTTGTTCAATTCGTGGTTGGCGTATGTCGCAAAAGCCACGGCGTCCATCATTTTCGGACCAGATCTTCTGTATTAGGGAGATTCGTTTTCTCCGCAGAGGCCGCGAGTGAGTTGGTCAGGCAATCTGTAACCTGAACCATGGCAATTAAACTTTTGTTTAACGCCGTTTGAATTTTTGAAACCTCAAGTCACTAGACCTGGTTTCGGACTTCAGTTTGTCCCATATAGGGGGGTTAACTTTGACCGGCACCAGCGCACCGCAATTTTCCGGTCGATCGTACAGTTTGTACTTCGTTGCAACTGTATCGTCAGGCAATCTCTCGCGCGCCAAATTATTGACGATCGTCGCGAGTTGATCGTGGACCCGTGGAGCACATGGTTCCTCCATTTGGAGTTCCTGTGCAATGTTGTCGAGGATCGATGATGTGCTCGGTTGTGCTTGAGCGCTTTCGACCGTCATAGGTTGACCGCTTTCGGCAGAAGTGGAGGGACCGTCGTTCGTAACTGCGGACGAAAGTAATTGCGAAACCGAGGTTTCCAGACATGGTCTCTTAGCTTGTGGTTCACCACCATCATCCACTTCGTCGTCAAGCCACGAGTCGTCGTCGTCTTGCTGCGACTTTTTGAATGCCTGCGACATTTCAGTCATGCCCTTTAGCAATGCTTGCATTGTGGACAAAAGAACATTATTTGTCTCAGCGTCCGTGATAACACTGGAACGCTGAGAATTATCTGAATCTTGAGACACAGTAATCTCAGGAGTTTCTGAACTCATTTTTTCTACAACTTGAATGAAAAAATCACAAATTTCGAGAGCTGCGATAAAGACGTGTTAGTCGCAAAAAGGATCGTTATACACTGATTAATGTCGCGAAGTCGCTATGCTTCTCACGTGATCACTAAGCGCAGCGGGTGATGAGGTAGAATTATTATTCGTGTTTATGGTTTTCCCAAATTAAGTCATATAATAAATAACTTACTGACTTCGATTGTTCGGTCTGTACGGTAAAATATCAAACCTCGGTCGTGCAGTATTGACCTCGCTATCGCTCGGTCAATACGGCACGACCTCGGTTTGATATTTTACCGTAAAGACCTCACTCTCAGTCAGTAAGTTCTTATTCTTCGAAAATTCTTACTGTGTGATAAATAATATAAACCGGCATTTGTGTAATTTGAGTAAATTGTTGTCAAACAAACATATCCTGCGTATTTACGCTATGATGCGTATTTACGCTTCATTGTTTACCCCATTCCTCGTGCCCGCGCATTATTCTACTCGCGCGTGGAGACCACCATATCTTCGAGAAAATCCAACAGTTTCCGACGTCCCGCGTGGGATCCACGCGTTGCGTGTTTTCCTCGCTATATGGGGGTGGGGCTACCTACTTAAGATATAGGTTGCATTCCAGTTTAAAGTAGCATGCTTCCTTAACAATGAATTACTGATACATACAGATTTGAAATATCATGCAGATTTAAAATATCCATGCGATCATCATTTTTTTAGCTCTTAGGAAAGTTGTGCACTAGTCAAAGATTGGTCAATTTTTCTATTTTCATGCCTTATTATAATTTTCATAACGTGTGTTTAAAGGCTCTTTCATAAGTCGAACTTATAGATACGACAAAGGAAGGATACGACTCGAATGCAAATAAGATGAGAGATAAGATACGATGAGAAAGAAGAAATGAACTTAAACAAAGAGTTTAGTGTACAACGGTTAAGACAGCCTATAAATTGATGTGTTTCTATACAGCCTATAAATTGATGTGTTTATAATGTGTTTCTGTGATTATCAAATATTCGAGTCTCTCAATTAGGCCACAGGTATAGTAATTTGACATTTATACAATTATATGCTATTCTGGAGAACCAAACAATTTTCTGCTTCACGAAACTTTGAGTCAGGCCTGTAAATCATTCATGGCGATGCTGATACACGATGAGCAGCTCATAATACCTTGTCTTAATTAAGTCCTCTTTAAGACGTCCAGTTAGAAACAGCACCGCATCCAGCGGTCTGGGGTAATATTTTGAACAATTCTGCGGCATCTCTGGGGGTCCATATTACGGTATCTTTCAAAAGGTCGAATAATTATATCACATTCGAGTGTATTCATTTAAAAAATCATACTATATCTAGTGTATTCCTTCAAACCAAGGTCGAATATACAACATTCTGGTATTTTGGACCTTCACTATATTCCTCCGAGAACACAAGCGAGATAAAACGAAAGACCGTGATAAAAGAATAAAAATTCTGCATGAGCAGGAAACGCTAAGGAAGGTACCTCCCACGCCACCCTGTGTCTTACTGACTGGATGTCAAATTTAATTGAAGAAATCGCTCAAGCATACGACGTTCTATTCCGCTATCGTTATTTATATAACTGGGGCCGGTTGTTCAAAAGCCGGTTAACGCTAACCCAGGGTTAAAAATACCTAACCCAGGGTTAAATTTTAAACCTTGGTTGATTTGCGTTGCTCAAAGCAGACAAAGCTCGGTTAGCGTTAACCCCGGGTTAAAATTGATAAAAAATTAACCCTGCTAGCTAGATGGGTTAACTTTTTAATCCTGGGTTAACTTCGATTCAAAATGGATGAATAAGGAGCTGAAACATGTAAACACGTATAATTCGTCATGAATTAAACACTTTTGAAAGGTTTTACGAATAATTTCGACAGCAAAGAATTATTTAAGTTTGACTTCGTTCGGTTTCAGCTGATGTATTGATTTATTTATCTTCGCTTCAATGCAATACACGATAAATGAATACAACCGTACAAATTGAAACATCGTAATCGAAATATTTGTTTCGCCGATGCTAAAATTCGATTCTTTTGATTGGCAGCAAGTGGTAAGCCTACGTTTGTTCCTGAATTTTGAATAATCAAACAATGCCTGAAATTTTAAAATAGATTGTTTATAATTTGCTTAATTTTGTTTCACATCGACATTGTTTATCATACAAAATGGCCTTTCATTTCGGTTCTTTCCAAAATTCCATGCACGGAAATTACTGTTCAAAACAACGTCCCTTCGACCCTGCCCTCACGGTGATATAATCTTTCGACTAAAAATATAATTTTAACCCAGGTTTAGCACTAACCCAGGATTAAATTTAATCTGCTTTTGAACAACCGGCCACATTTTTCGTTCTTGACCAATCAGAATGCGCGAAATTCAAAAGGAGTGGGAAAATAACACCATCTTCTAAGCCCTCCGTGCCATTCGATATTGAACTTTTCACTTCAAAACTAACAAATTGTGACAAAGCGTGACTTTTTCTTTAATTTCCTCGTGGGGATTTTTTAAATTCGATCTACAACGCGAAATATTTATGTTTGAAGAACCGTGGGTCAACGCGCGTAAAATATCAGACACCCTAATAGTCTGTCTTTAATAGGCATATGAAATACTTTGTCAGACTCTATAAATTTTGCACTTTAAACGTATTTCCTTCCAGTAGACTGACTATTGTGTAGTAAAAACCCTATTCTGTGGTACACAGTAATACCTTTCTCGTCGGAAACGTCAGAGTTACAAGTGTAAGTGTAGTGGCTTCTTGGAAAAGGAAACTAAAGCAACGGAATGTCAGAGTCAGTCAGACCTTCGCCCAAGGGGTTATTTTCTCCAAGAAATTGTTTACTGTTGTTTAATTCTGTTTGTTTTCTGTATCATCGTCGTTGTCGTCGTCATCTTCAGGATCACTCTCTTCGTCGCTGCTTCGTCAACGCTGATATTTGCAGGAGAAAACACAGCGTTGTTTGCTGTCTTGCCAAGAGCTTCAACTTTTGCCAAAAACGTTGCTTGACAAATTGGGCAATGGCTAATGATAGGCAGAACACATTCAATGTGAAGCAAATGTCCACATCCACGGAAAGCACTCCAAATAAAGGGGGTTAATTTTTGTGCAGGTAAGCAAATCGCATTTTCTATGCTGGAAATATTTTGGAAGTACTTTTAAGGATTTATATATATTTATGTATGCACATGCTAACTCAGATTTGCTTAGCATGTTGCTGCTTCTTTTGAAATTAAAGATCTTTACAAGAATTACATTACTGTTGATGGCAGTATTCTCACTAAATGCAACTGTGTTCCTCTGAAACACCGGCCCCCTCATTTGTTTTGCATTCTTTTTACCTGTATGGGTTTGGTAGGGTTTCCACTGATGTGTACCCTAGTGGAAGCAATTGATTGGTGATAATCTTCTCACCAAACAGGTTGAGAAGTTTCAACTTAGTGGTGTGTTTGGGTTGTCTTTGGGCTTGAGGTTGTTGAACTGCCATGTTGAGGTGAGTATAAAAAGGGATTCAAACTTGAGGGTGAGGAATTCAGCTGCCTTTGCTACTAATTTACTAATTTGTTTGGAACTGAAATTAAATTTCCTAGGTGGCACAACTACTGACTGGAAAGAATGCAGCTCATGCTTACAGGCATCAATTTCTTTGCTTTGAATGCAATTTTATCAGCTGTGTTGGTCACCTTGGCCCACTGACAAAATAAGAAACAGCCCTCCAGTGTTTGATACTGTACACCAAAACTTGGCCGCATTTGATAAATATCCAGTTGAGAAATTACACATTGTGTTAAGAAGGACCAAAATGCCTGTAAGCTGAGCTGCATTCCATTATTTGTGCCACCTAGGAAATTTAATTTCAGTTAGTAAATTAATAGCAAAGGCAGCTGAATTCCTCACCCTCAAGTTTGAATCCCTTTTTAGCCACCTCAACATGGCAGTTCAACAACCTCAAGCCCAAAGACAACCAAAACACACCACTAAGTGGAAACTTATCAACTTGTTTGATGAGAAGATTGTCACCAACCAATTACTTCCACTAGGGTTTACATCAGTGGAAACCCCACAAAACCCATACAGGTAAATAGAATACAAAATAAATGAGGGGGAACACAGTCGCATTTAGTGAAAATACTGCCACCAACAGTACTGCAATGCTTGTAAAGATCTTTAATTTCAAAAAAGGCAGCGACATATGCTAAGCAAATCTGAGTTTAATAGCATGTATATACATATATGCACATGCTTTTAAACTCAGATTTGCTTAATTAGCATGTCGCTTAGCATGTATATATATATATATATATATATCTATATATATATATATATATGTATATATATATATATATATTTATATACATAAATCTTTAAAAGACTACTTCAAAAATATTTTCAGCATAGAAAATGCGATTTGCCTACCTGCAAAAAAGTGAACCCCGTTTGGAATGTTTTCCGTGGATGTGGAACCCCTACATAATACATACATACATACATACATAAAATTTGTGTTCTGCCCACTGATCTAACATTAACCATTGCCCAGTTTGTCCAGCAACGTTGTTGGCAAAAGTTGAAGCTCTCGGCAAGACAGCAAACAACGCCGTGCTCGACGCTGTGTTTTCTCCTGCAATCAGCGTTGAAGAGGCGATCACAGCGACGAAGTGAGTCATCTTGAACATGATGACGACGATGATACAGAAAACAAACAGAATTAAACAACAGCAAACAATTTCTTGGAAAAAATAACCCCTTGGGTAAGGTCTGGCTGACTCTGACATTCCGTTGCTTTAGTTCCCTCTTCCAAGAAGCCAACCGGATGTGATATTTAATAACACTACACTTGTAACTCTGACGTTTCCGACGAGAAAGGTATTACTGTGTACCACAGAATAGGGTTTTTACTACACAATAGTCAGTCTACTGGAAGGAAATACGTTTAAAATGCAAAATTTATAGAGTCTGACAAAGTATTTCATATGCGTATTAAAGACAGACTATTAGGGTGTCTGCTATTTTACGCGCGTTGACCCACGGTTCTTCAAACATAAATATTTCGCGTTGTGGATCGAATTTAAAAAATCCCCACGAGGAAATTAAAGAAAAAGTCACGCTTTGTCACAATTTGTTAGTTTTGAAGTGAAAAGTTCAATATCGAATGGCACGGAGGGCTTAGAAGATGGTGTTATTTTCCCACTCCTTTTGTTTACATATTTTGAATTTCGCGCATTCTGATTGGTCAAGAACGAAAAATGTAAACAAACGCACTGATTGGCTAACATTTTTCACCCTTGTTGATTATCAGTGTTCAATTCATTTCAAATTCAATCTCGAAGCCGCGTGGAGACAAGGCTAATACTGGTGAACCTCAGAATCTACACACTCAACACGAGAAAATTTTCAGGTATGCGTCGATAAATCTTGTAGTACTCCATACTCCCTGCATCAATGCGAATCTTACTGAATTTTTTGAATTGAGATAAAGGTTCCACTATAATGTTTCCCGAAATGTTTTTCTTTCATAACAAAATAATCGAGTAACTCAATCAGACCTACAGCATAAAGGAATTGCTAATATTGCACAATGTAAAACGCCTAAGTATAAATTAATGTATAATTTTCTAATCTATAGTAACTTGGCGTTTATCCCCCTGAATACAATTAGATGCTCTTCAAATTTACTGGAGACCTAAACTATTTTGTGCTTCACGAAAATTCGACACACATGAAAATTCGTCCAAGCATGTGACGTTTAATTCCGCTCTCCTAATAATTATCGCTCTTCCTGTTTACTTTAAGTCTAAAAATTTTCAGAATTCATGCGCTTTACTTCTTCCTCGTGAATTCCATAGTGCGTTATTTCAATAGACGTTTCATGATGTTACAAGTACTGATATTATTTTATACTGATTATATGACAAACTATTCAGGAACTGTATGTGTATCCGTCTATTACAGTTAACTGTGTGAAAAAAATCTATCACAAATTGTTAATAAAGACTTTAGAGTTAGACGTCAGAGTTCGACATTCAAGTCAGCTAGGCCTATAAATGGCGATAACATAGCAGCTCATAGCACCTTGTCTTTGAATCCTTTTAACCAGACATTGCATGCTACACGCGTAAAAACGCTCAGGTTGATGCAAGTTGATATAAACAGGATGGAGCAATGTTGTGCTGCCCACATTGTTCAGAGTTGTTATATCAACATTGAACAATATTGTTGAAACTGAATCGGTTGTAACAATATTGCTCAATATTGATAATAACTCGGAACAATGTGGGCAGGACAACATTGCTCCATCCTGTTTATATCAACTTGCATCAACCTGAGCATTTTTACGCGAGTAGAAGGATAAACGTTTAGTTAGGATCAGGGCCGCTGACTGGTGTGATATTTTGAATATTAATATTTTGAATTTTGCAGCACCACTGCATGGGAGGTCCATATTTCGGTATCTTACCAAGGTTGAATATTTATACTATATTCAGGAGAATTTAAGCTTACCAAGGTCAAATAATTAAAGCTATATATTTTCTGGTGCGTAAATTCGGGAATTCGCGAGCTCACAAAGGTAGAATAATTAATTATACCATATTCAGGTGTATTCGAGCTTACCAAAGTTAAATATTACACATTCTGGTGTATTCAACAATCTTACCAAGATCAATTATTAATTCTACCATATTCTTGTATATTCGAGTGTTGACCTTCACTACTTCTTGTCGTGTTTTACTGAGAGACTAAATGGTCATATTTTTTTGTACTTCGCCGACAATTTCGTATTCAATATTTCGCGTTTGTTCCTTTCTGCTATATTCGACCTTTACTATTTTTTATCGTGTTTTACTGGGTACCTTTCCAGAGACTATAAATATAGTCTTACTTTTTGCCAATACCATACTTTTTTTTTCGCCTTTGTGCGGATATTTTGACTGATGCATTTGCGACAATCGCATCAGTCTGGATCCACCCGTGCATACGGGGCCAGTCGTTTCTTTCTCCGTTGAGGTAACAAATTTTACATCTGGAGGTAAGGAGATAAACTGCATTATAAGATATCTCATATAGCAACCTTTTAAGTTTATACTAGCTTGCTATCTTAACAATAAATTATTGATATAATTATACAGATTTGAAATATAATGCAATCAGATTTAAAATATCCATGCGATCCTCGTTTTTTTTGGCTGTTAAGAAAGTAGTATATTACACTAGTCAAGGATTGGTCAATTTTACTATTTTTATGGCTTATAAGTCGAAATTATAGATACAACAAAGGAAGGATACGACTCGAATGCAAATAAGATGAGAGATAAGATACGATGAGAAAGAAGAAATGAACTTAAACCAAGAGTTTAGTGTTCAATGGTTGACACAGCCTATAAATCATTCCTGCTGACTACATGCGAGGCAGCTCATAGCACCTTTTCGTTAGCGTTCAGTTAGGGAGATACTACACCGCTCGGTTGTGATAAACAGGAACACGAACTCGTTAACTGATGTAAAAATATTACATTGACGTAAATTGGGAGGAGCTAAACTGAGATCTCCTGACTGAATTTCTTTGTGACTCCACAGTCCACATGGAATAATTTATAAGATCTATGATGCATTTCGGTTTATCGATTTGTGTTTCTGGGATTATCAAATATTCGGGTCACTCAATAATTAGGCCTATACAGGTATAGTAATTTGACATTTATCCCCCTGAATGCAATTATATATGTTATTCGGGAGAGCCAAACCATCTTCTGCTTCACGCAACTTCGAGTCAGGCCTATAAATCATTCATGGCGATGCTGATACATGATAGCAGCTCATAATACCTTATCTTAATTAAGTCCTCTTTAAGACGTTTCGTTAGAAACAGGACTGCATACAGCATTTTTTCTCTCTTTTGTGATATTTTGAGCAATTCTGCAGCTTCTTTGGGGGTCCAAATTTCGGTATCTTACAAAGGGTGATTAATACACCATTCCGGTGTATTCAATCTTACCAAAGGTCGAAAATCATACCATATTCTAGTGTATTCTATCAAACCAAGGTCGAATATACAACATTCTGGTATATTCGACGTTAACTATATTCAACCTTCACTCTATAATATACAATGCTGCCAAGTTAAGACAAACAGCAATACGAATTCGTTGATTTAACAAATTTTTACATCTCACGTTAATGGACGAAGATAAACAGATAAGATTTCGACTGCATTTTGGTTTATATAGTAACTTGACATTTATAAACTAGGCTTCTACAAACACTGAAATATGATGCAGATTTGAAATATCCGCATATGCAATCAAAATTAATTTTTTTGCTGTTTGAGAAAGTACTATAAGTTCATTAGTCTAGGATTTGTCGACTTTTTCTTTTTATGGGTTACTATAACTCTCATGCTTCATGTGTGTTTAAAGTCCCTTTCATACGTCGAACTTTTAAGGTTCCGGCTCAGTCGAATGGTAATAAGCTTAAACAAAGAGTTTAGTGTTCAACGGTTTAGACAGCCTGTAAATCATTCCTTCTGACTACATGCGTGGCAGCCCATAGCACCATTTGTCCATTTCGTTTGCGTTCAGTTAGGAAGATACTATACCACTTGGTTGGAACAAACAGGAACACGAATCCGTTAATTGATGTAAAAATATTACATTGACGTAAACTGGGAGGAGCTAAACTGAGATCTCCTGCCTGAATTTCTTTGTGACTCCACAGCCCACAGGGAATAATTTATAAGATATATGATGTATTTCGCGGTTTCCCGTTATGTGTTTCTGTGATTATCAAATATTCGAGTCCTGAATACAAATATACGCTGTTGTGGAGAACTAAAAAATCTTCTGCCTCTCGAAACTTCGTGTCAGGACTATAAATCATTCATAGCGATGCTGCATGGCTCTGCAAATTTTTGAACGAATTACGTATTCAAGCATTTGCAAATGCATTGTTTACGATGTATGGAGATCAGTTCATATTAAGGCGCTGTTACAATAATTATGCACTTTTCCTTGCAAATTGCAATGCAATTGTAATTTTGAGGGATGTCAATTAGTAAAGAGTGATCGAAATGTCAAGAAAACGTCAGCGGAGCGTAATAAAATGTTGTATTCGCCAACACTACATCTCTCAAGAGTAGAATTGCATTGCAAGTTGCAAGGAAAATTGCATCGTTCAACACAGCAAAGCGGGACGAGTTGCTATTGCTAGCTACGCCACTGTCTACACGTTGAAATATCTGCGAACAAACAGAACTGGTAATGTAAATATCGTAAATTTCTCTCGGATCCACCTTTAATTTGTCAAATGATTAGCATCAAATACACAGTTCGTTAAGAAATAAGCATAAATAAATACCGACTCGGTAGTGCGTGCTAGCAACTTTACAAAATGTGAAAATGACGGTTGGTACTTGCGAGTTCCGGTGGCAACTTGCTCGGTGGCATGCAAAATCGTGGTTAGTTTAAATGTTTGACTTTGAAACCACGACATCATTTTGATCAGACTGTTGCAGAAATTTGCTAATTGAAAGCGTAAGTCACGCAGCGTTTTCTTCGCCTATCGTCTTTATTTTTTATCTTTTCTGCACACTTTTCATGCGAGAATATCTTCAAATACTCTTAGTTTGCTCTCTCTAACTAATTGTTGTTTTATCTTTAATTTCAGGTCCAAAATTCTGGCAGAAATTTATCCGGCCAAGTTTTTCAATTTATCCAAATGCCTCTAGGCAAGCCGTTGAAGGAGGTCAGAAAGTCTACCATTAAAGGACTGTTGTTGTTCTTGTTTAGTTGTTTGTTTGTTTGTTTTTTTGTTTGTTTGTTTTCAAAGCTTTCCCACGCCACCAAGAACACCATGTAGCACATTTAAGGTTGTCTTAAGATTTGAAATATCGTAGTCAACAGAACAGCGGTTTAACCATAGGCAGCCCAGACTTTGACTTGCGCGTGTGATACTCGCGCGCGTGTCGCGCTTACGTTGTTTACTTCGTCTATATACTAGAGATACATGCATGCAGCAACCCCTCGCCATTTCAAACGAAGCAAAAATTTTCCTGAGCTAGCCAGACCTAACCTTCAATATTATGAAATGTCCTAATGTAAAGCCGATAGCTGATGTTTCAAATATTTAGGAAAAAAACACAGTCGTAAAGGTGAAGTGAAATCACCCGTTTTCCTGCTGCTTTCCGTTGAATTAAGTTATAGACTTTCACAGTTTAAGTGAGAGTTAATACTTCATTATAGCTAAAGCTTCAAACATCAAAACAGCCCAAATAATATAAATAACCAAGCAGTGAACGTCGAATGTTGTTTTTCGATTATTAAACTCATGCAGTGATTGCAGTCGACTGTATATAAACCTTTAAAGTGATATTTGTTATATTAAAACTCCGAATTACACTTTTAAGGACTCTTTTGGAAGTTAAAACGATGATGTAAAGTCTTAAATAGTCGGTCACGCCTTCGCAAAACTGAGCAAAACGACATACTGTACCAAGGTCATAAAATGTATTCGTACAGCAAACACGAAATAAACCTCGAAATAAACAAAATAGACTCCTACCATTTCAAGGATTATAATCGAGTTGTCCCTTTTCACCGCTAATTCCTCCAGTTCTGATAATATAACTCTTCGCAGTGTTTTATCTGTTATTTGATTCCACATTTCATATTTTGTTTTCGAAATATTTTTTTAAAAAATAGTTTGCAAAATGACAATTAAATTGCTGACGTTTTTCACTGAAACACAAACGTTTCGTCTTAGCCAATCAGGAAGTTGCTGATTACCAGTCTACACTCGTTCGCATTTCGCGCATGCGCACAAGTACCATGACCATTGAACGTCCATGACATTTGGGCAACTTTGGATTCCGCTATGTTCTCCCGGGTGCCGGGTGTAATTCCTAATCTCCGGGCGGAATTAGTACCCTCGCACGGTGCTCCGCACCGGCTCGGGGATTATGACAAGGTAGGAAAGAGTTTATCAAAATATGGCAGATATACCTTCGTAAATGTATAATTATCTAAAAAATTACTTGAAGAAACGCCACAATAACTACAACTTAATAATTACCGATGATTAAACCACATTATTCTGCAGTTTCCATGTTTTTAAACAACATCTATAAAGCCTTCAAATTAGCGAAATAAAACAGGAATTCATACGGAATTTTGAGAAAACTATCCGAGGGTCACTCCGCCTAAGGAAACGTCATATTTTTTGAGATATTAACTAAACGCTCATTGGCTTACCTGCAGGACCACCTATGACCACCTATCCCTTTACGGAGTGACCCTCGGGGATAGTTCTCTAAAAATTCCGTATGAATTCCTGTTTTATTTTGCTAATTTGAAGGCTTTAGATGTTGTTAAAAAACATGAAAACTTTAGGATAATGTAGTTTAATCATCGGTGATTATTAGGTTGTAGTTTTTGTGGCGTTTCTTCAAGTAATTTTTTAGATAATTATACATTTACGAAGGTATATCTGTCATATTTTGATAAACTCTTTCCTACCTTGTCATAATATATAGACGAAGTAAACAACGTAAGCGCGACACGCTCGCGAGTATCACACGCGCAAGTCAAAGTCTGGGCTGCCTATGGTTTAACAGTAAATAAAAATCGGTCTTAAACTTGTTTAAAATGTTAATCCGTGTCGTGTCAATTTATGCATGGAGTCAACCACGAGTTAACCAATGCCAAACCCGGCAACGCGATATTCGCTTTAAAAATCAGGGGCCGGTTGTTCAAAAGCGGGTTAAATTTAACCCTGGGTTAGCGTTAAACCTGGGTTAAAATCCTTAACCCAAGGTTAGCTAACCCCAGGTTAAAACTCCGTTGTTCAAAGCAGTGTGAAAGTTGCGGTTAACTAACCCAGGGTTAAGGCAGTTAACCTTAGGTTAAAAAGCGCGCGAATTCTTGCAAAATGGCGGACGTTGAAGGAGAGAAAAGAAGAAAGCTCAACTTTACGGTGACCGAAATAGACACTTTGACCAGCAGAGTGCAAGAAAATTTAGGACTAATCCAGTCAAAACTAACCAATGCGGTAACGAATCAGAAAAAAAATAAAATTTGGGAGAATATCACAAAAGAAATAAACGCGATAGGGGTGGCAAACCGCACAACAAGCGAAATTAAAGAGAAGTGGAAGAACCTGACCAGCTCCGCTAAGAAAACGTTTGCCGATGTGAATAGGCAGATGCGAAAAACTGGAGGTGGTCCTCCACCTAAAGAACCCACTGCAGCGCAAGAGAGGATAATCAAAATATTTGAAGATACTCCTCTTTTTACCGGATTAAGCGGCTTTGAAACAGGTACCGGTGGGAAGTGATTGCATTTGTTGCGCTGAACTGTGGTACAAGTTTGGGCAAGTCTCTAAATTAGTTTCCAGAGCGCAACGCTTAATTAAATTGTAATCATATATTCATTTCATATCATCATATTTGCACGAACGCGGCCATGTTTGCAAAGAAATTGCCAAGTTTTCAACTATTAATATTTGTTCAACTCCATTAGTGAAAACGGCTTCCTAAACTAAGATAAGTTTTTTTCTTTCTAGTTGAAATTCTAACTTTGCCAAGACTCTGCTATATATAAATGCTTGTGTCAACACTTTGCATTTTGCAGTTTCGCCTTTTTTTAAAGCATATACTTTGTTTATTGTATATGTATTATGTTTTATTATTTGGGTATTTTATGTCTCTTCATTTTTCAGACGGACAGGATAGACAATCCTTGGAGGGTTGTAGCACGCCCGCACTTAGAGACGGTATCCTTCAAGAATTAACAGAAGTAGGACAACTCGACTCAGATGATTCAGATGAAGATAATTATGATCGTGAAAAACAGCGTCCGATACCACCATCTTTCAATAAGGAAGAAGTCTTTACTCCTAATTGTTTACCTGTGCCCACCACCCTTATCCCCGCCCTCCCTCCACCAAGCAAAACAGAACGAAAAAGGAGAATAACAAACCAAGAGGTTTTAAAGCTGCAAGCTGAAGTTCTACAACACCAGAAAGAAGTTTTAATATTGAAGAAGGAAAACCTAAAACTAAAAAACCAGGCTTTAAGAGAGGCACAAAATAGTATGCTGAAGCTTTGAAGGGTACTGTGTCTATTCATTCTTTGATAACTTAATTATTTCTATACAGCTTAATTATGGTTGGACTTTCAGAACCTCAAATTCTATGCATGCAAGTGGTAATAGGGGTTGTAAGGTACTAGGCATTTACACATTAAAAGCAGACAGATTGCCTTGTGCAACAAATTTTCATGTTCATGATTGTAAATACACACTCTCAAGTACTTATCATTCTTTATTCCTCCAACGTTAAAGGAAAAACTTATTAATATAAATTTCATTTAGCTGTATATAATTTTGTGTGTAAAGTATTTATATTAATGTTATATATTTATTTTATTTATAGCATTCATAAACTGTTCATAAACTAATCACAATTACATATTTGCAATATAATTTATAACCCATACTTTATTGACACTGTATATTAAATTATAATATTTGATATGATAATATTTAATATTAATTAAATGGGTATGTGGAAAAAGTAGAGTGTACACTCAGTCATTTACAAGCTTGAACACATCAATCAACTTACCATAATAGCCTGTGGTTTAATATACACAAATTCATGCCAATTAATAGCTGTTTAAAAAAAAGTGTTTGCTATATGGTCTCTGATAAGATGGCCTGTTTCATGCCCTTGATATTCCTGTACTTCCAGTTCATCATCTTCATCATCATCATCATCATCCATTGGCTCATTAAATGCAATTGCAATATTATGCAATATTGCGCATGCACCAATAAGCTGGCAAACCTTTTCCGGGTGCATTCTCACTTCTGAGTGCAGAAGATGGAATCGTCTTTTCCATCTACCAAATACTTGTTCAATTATGACCCGGGTCCTCCTATGGGCTCGGTTAAACCCCCTTTGATTTGCTGTGGCTGGCTCATGATATGGTGTCATAAGGTATGGCTTCAGTGCATAGCCACTGTCACCAAGCAAAATTCCTTGCTCCAAGTGGTTGTGGTTGTTCTCAAGCTGCTGGCATATTTGAGATGTGTGGAAAATGTGGCTATCATGGGTGCTGCCAGGCCATCGAGCCACAATGTTTGTAAACCGTCCTATCAGAGGAGTATATTAAAAATGTAGTACATTTAAACGTGTGGTGTAATGGCTTTACTGATTCAAAAAGTTATTAATTAAACTGGACTAATCTTTTGGGACGCCCAGTACAAGTAATAGCAGTGTGATTATATATAATTATGATACAGTATCAGTATGTACCTTCATGATCACAAATGCCCTGTACGTTGATAGAGTGATAGCGCTTCCGGTTCACGTAATTATTCTCGTTATGATGTGGCGCCTGAATTCTGATGTGTGTACAGTCAACACAACCAATCACAGACGGAAAGCCAGCTTGTGCAAAAAAGTGGTTCTTTACTTTCTCGATTTCGTTTATTGAAGACGGCCATTTTATGAAATCATTTCGTCTTCTATTCAGTGCCAAAGATACATCTCTGACCGTTCGAGACACCGTTGATTTGTCAACACCGAAACTATCTCCAACAACTTGTAGGAAACTGCCGGAGGCATAAAATCTCAAGGCAATTAGGACTTGTTGTTGTGGCTCAAGTGCATGGCCTCGCTGCGTATTGCGAATTAAATCTTCATGCAGAAGGTTTGTAATGTAATTTATTGTGTTTCTGCCAAACCTATACCTTGCCCTTAGCTCATCGTCGTAAAGGCCGTCAATATTTATGCCACGTGGACGATATCGTCTTTCCCGACGAGGATGATTTATTCGAAACAAATTAAAAGGAAAGCCTGCCATGTTTTATTTGCGAACTTGATACGTTAACCTAGGGTTAAGTAAGTTAACCCATCTAGCGAGGAGGGTTAAAGTTAACCCTTCCTTTAACCTAGGGTTAAAGATAACCTAGTTTTGAACAACGCAAAGTAACCCAGAGTTAAAATTTAACCCAGGGTTAAGCAAATTTAACCCTGGGTTAGCGTTAACCGGCTTTTGAACAACCGGCCCCAGAACGTTTTCGCACTCGCCTAACCCCATTTACCTCCCTTTTGCGGCAAATTTCGTGATTTTGCACAGCAAAAAAAAATTTAGGGCAAAGTGCTAAACTTAAATAAAGTTTTTTTGGAACTATGTACTTAAAAATATCAAGACCAAAGACTTGAAGCATACAACCGGCTCATGCATGTAAATCCAGTTTTGTTTAACTGAAGTGGGGTAAAGTTGACCGTAAAAAAGAGCAAAATATGTATATTATTTTGTAGAAAAGAACAGTGAAGGAATGTCAGTATGGGGAACTAAGTCTGAAAAAGCTTGCATAATACATTCAAAATAATGCGCATTCATGCATGATATTTACGGTGCCGGCGATTGCTCCAATAATAGCTACAATTTGTCGTCCTTTAATTAACTGACTATCTAGCTATAGGCGAAGTATAAACTACAGTGTCGGAGGAATAGATCTCAAACACATACACCTAAAGGGTTGTTTTTAAGAACGCAATGCATTGCTAGGATTCATTGAAATTTGATTTTTTTCCTTAACAGTTTTTTAAACCAGTTGATGAAGGGTCTGTCAAACATGTCCCATGTTCAACAGGGGAATCACTGCCAGAAAATGCTGTTGAAGGTGGATATGATAACGGACCATCTTACCACGGGAGAGGAATTGTTTCGGAGAAAACAATTCCAGGCAAGGTCGGAGTAGATTCGCCTAGAAATGGCCGTTTGAAAGGGGCGTGCATTCCTTACGGATCTAAAGAGCACCGCGTCCACACATTCGAGGTGCTCACATCAACATCGAAAACATCCTATGTGAGATGCAAAATGGTGACAAGGCACCAAAAAATGCTATTGAAGGAGGCTACGATGGAGGTCCTTCATACCATGCAAGGGGCGTAGTTGCAGGAAAGATGATTCCTGGAAAAGTTGGAGTGGATAAGGAATACGATGGGAATCTTAAGGGAGCATGCATCGCCTACGGTGGCAAGGAGCACCGCATTCACGATTATGAAGTTCTTGTTTTAGAATGATGATACGACAATTTTAATTTAATTTTTTATTTTTTTATTTTATAAGCTTTGTCACAATATAGATTTACAAGTAAAACACCATTATAATTTATAACATTATTAGAGCTATCCTTGCAAACTTCAATTTTACAGTCAAAAAACTATTTAACATATTAGAATAGACATGGATCTGTGAAAGTCCTCACTGCAAGATAGGAATAATCCGTGTCGAATAAAAAGTTGACGAAGCAAAAATGCTTTCTACGACTCTTAGGGTAATCGCAAAACAGTCTAGACAAATCATAACGCCATTTCTATCAACCAGGGTATGGAGTTCTCGTTTAATGAGAAAATTACCAATAGTTTTTCAGATTAGGAATTACACCCGGAACCCGGTAGAACATAGGCGAATCCAAAGTTGTCCAAATTCTTTGTCATGGACGGTCGACGTTGGGTGGTTTTGTAAGTTATGCGCATGCGCGAGTAACGTCTGTGCTTTAAGAATAACTAATTCTGATTCTGAATTTCAAGTGGTTATCAGCACTTCAACAGCGCTTAACACTAATTTAGTATACTACCTGTTTACAAGCACAACATGTTTTCTACTGATATTCAATCCATAATCCATAAAGGTAGAATACAGATTTTTGGCTTTACTATAAAAAGGGTATAAAACTAGCTACAATCTATGATTATTTACAATACTTAGATAAATCTTTATTTACAGTTCTAAACAAATATGTCTTTAATCCTACTTTAAAACTATTTACAGGCTCAGACAGTCTTAGTGTCTGTGGTAACCTATTCCATAGTGTTGGTGCAACTACAGAAAAACACCGTCCTCCATAAAATTCTAAATTATATTTTGGGACTACTAATTGTTTATCTACTGAAGATCGTAGATTACGTTCAGGAATATAAATCTTGAGCATATCGTTTATATATGGCGGAGCTAGACCAGATAGTGCTTTATAAGTGAGTAATAGTATCTTATATTCAATTCCTTCTTTCACCGGCAGCCAATGCAGTTTAAACATCACAGGAGATACATGATCCCTTTTATTTGACAAAGCGACCATCCGTGCAGCTGCATTTTGGACTTTCTGAATTCTTTGTAGGAGTATGCTTGGTAATCCATACAATACGGCATTGTTGAAATCCAATCGGGAAGTAACCAAAGCATGTACCAAAGTTTTAGCAGATTCAAGGCTAAGATATTTTCGTATTTTACCTAATTTTCTCAGATAGTAGAATCCAGATTTGCAAACAGTTATTACTTGCATCTCCATATTTAACTGCGAGTCCATCGTAACTCCAATATTCTTTGCCTTTGGCGATAAATCAATAAGTTCGTCACAAACTGTTACCGAAAATGAAAATGGACAAGGGCGATATCGAGACGATAGCAACATTATCTCAGTTTTTCACTGTGCAATTTCAGTTTATTCCTAGATAGCCATTCATTCACTTTTCTGATACATTGCTCAATCTCAAATTTAGCGTCACCCAACTTACTTGCATTAGTCGATTTAAACGTAATGTATAATTGAGTGTCATCAGCGTAGAGATGATAGCCAATGCCCATTGATCGTATAATATCTCCTATAGGTGCAATATAAAGTGAGAAAAGCATCGGTCCCAAAATACTTCCCTGTGGAACACCAGATCGTATAGTTCGTTTTGTAGATTGGCCATCAAGAACATATACCGTAAATGACCTTTCATCAAGATATGATTCAAACCATCTTAAAGCCTTTCCGCTGATCCCGTATTTCGAAGAGAGTCTGTGCATTAATATTGCATGGTCTACAGTGTCAAATGCCGCAGAAAGGTCTAGGAGAACTAAGATCACTGCATTTTGATTGTCCAAAGCTTCCAGAACATCGTTTTGAACCTTGACCAAGGCTGTTTCAGTGCTGTGGTGTTTCTTGTAACCAGACTGTAGAGATTTACTTAGATTGTTTCTCATGATGTGTTGATCTAATTGAATTGCCACAACTTTCTCTAGGCATTTAGACACAAACTTGAGATTTGAGATCGGTCGAAAACTAGGATATTCATCAGTGTTCATGTTATCTTTCTTCAGCCTTGGTTTTAGAGCTGCACATTTTAGGCTTACAGGTACAGTAGCAGTTTCAAGTGAGTTGTTAATTATATTCATATTTTATTAATCGGTGGTAACAAATCAGCCAAACACTCCTGCACGATCTTAGAGGGAACTGGGTCCAGAACACACGATTTTTGGGCCATTTTTTTCATTATGACAGTCAGATCCTCAGTAGATGTCGGTAGAAAGGACTGATTTAAATTCACTGCATTTCATCGACGATGGTTCTATGGTGTTGGTACACATTGGAATCGTGGAATGTGTTAACAAATCATTTCTGATAGCGTCAATTTTGTTTTCAAAAAAGTCTGCAAAATTGTTTGCAAGTTGTTCAGATGAACTACACGGTGGATATTTTCTTTCTTTGATCCATTAAACATTCTCTCTACTTTCTTAAAAAGTTCCCTTTGATCAGATTCGCAGTCATTTATTAACTTTTTATAATAGTTGGTTTTTGCGTTTGTAATAAGCCTATTAACATCAACACACTTCTGAGTATATAATTCTCTATCAACGGTTAATCGTGACCTTCTCCAACGATGCTCTAACCTTCTTTTTATGATTTTTTGTTCCTGAATTTCGGGGGTATACCATGAGGTATCTGGACGTAATACTTTAAGCTTACTTTTGATGGGTGCATGCGAATTCAGTAACGTTACGAGTGTGTTTTCATAGGCATCAACAGAAGCAAAAGTGTTGATCGCGGTGTTGCTTTTTTGGGCAAAAGCTGATCTTCTTATATCGGCACAGAACAAATCAAAATTTATCGACTTGATGTTCTTGAAGCTAATGCTCTTCTTTACAGAATAAGGTTTAGTAAACAGTAACTTACAATTTACTGCAAAATGGTCCGAGATACCAGGATCAGTTACATTTACGCCGGACACAAATGTGTCATCTGATCTTGTTAATATTAGATCCAGCGTATGACCTTTTTTATGGGTAGGAACAAGCACATGATTTTTATAGTCAAACGATCTAATCAAGTTGTTGAACTTTTTCGCCGACACATTGTTGATATCATTAACATGAAAATTGAAGTCGCCCGCTAGTAAGACATCTCCAATGCCCTGGCTCGGAACAAGTATTTCCAGCAAATTAGAAAATTCATTAAAAAAAGTAGCTTCATTTACTCCGTTCTTTTTTGACATAGGAGGACGGTAGACAATAATAATTCTCACAGTCTTCGATACCGATTTCATAGTCAGATCCATATATTCGAATGATTCGAACTTTCTAATGCTCGGATTTTCCTTGATATATAAGGTTCTTCTAAACACAATAGCTACACCACCACCACGAGATTCTCGAGGAACATGTAAGAATGAATATCCATTAGGAGTAGCTTCACTTATTTCAAAATCATTATTTTCAGGGGAGAGCCAGGTTTCTGTTAGGACCAAAATATCCAGTTTGTTATCTACGATAAATTCATGAACAAGACACATCTTGTTTTTTAATGATCTTACATTCAGCGTGCTAAAATGTATCGCTAAGCTTGCTTTAGAGGGTTGAGCCATGGGTGCACAGGCAATTGTAATCAAGTTGTTTCGCTTGGGTTGCTCCTTATTAATATTCAGATTTCGAGACCGTGTCGTCATTATTCTTTGAATCATATAGCATTGTCCATTATCAGAAGTATATCCATCATCAAGCTTAGTAACTGGATTTAAATTAGAGGAGAGGGTATTTGCGAGGGATTGGGAAGAAGGAACTGTGAATTCCAATGGGACTTGTGGGGGAGCACTGGGAATTCCATTACTGGTCTTGCAGAAGGTATGGGTCTCACAAATTTGGGTGGTAGTTTGGAAACCTGGTCAAAGGGTCCATGTAGATGTTTGGTGGCATTGACGCTCTGCTGCCGAATAAAAAAGAAGCATTGGGCAAATGATTATTTGTCAATGGTCTTGGTGAAGCCTTTCCTCGGTAAATCGTTGCATGGGAAAAATCACAGTTATTCTTTTTCAAACAGTATCCTCTTCTTTGCAAAAAAGGACAGAAGGTTTTATGCTTAGGGATTTTGTGTTGAAAATCGCATCGGTTCCCTTTGAGACATCTGCCTCGACGTAACAAGAAAGGGCATTGAGTTGAACTTTTTGTAGCATTTACTTCTGTGTTTAAGCTTCCTTGCGTTTGAATTTGCTGTTTATTTATAGGTAAGTTATTTTCTATTAAGTTTATAACAGATTCTTGTTGATTTTGCTGCGCACCAACACGATTTGGGATATCCGATTGAAAGTTGGGTGGTTTAGTACTCACAAGTTTAGGAGGATTAGGGGTCACAGATTGGGGATCATTAGTTGCCACATTTACTGGGGAATTATGCACTGAAGGACTGATATCATCTTTTTCTTGATTGAGATTAGCCGGAATAGTAGGTGTAGTATGACCTACTTTCCTTTCTAACTCATCTATACGTGACCTTAAATGCAAATTTTCGTTCACCAGGTCGTTCAGCCTCTGTTCATTTTTGTAAACAAACTGTTCCTGCTCAAGAAATTTAGCATTTAGAATTGCAAGTTCGACATTCAACTTATCTTCCAACATAGAACAGAGCTTTTTTTCAAGTTTATTGAAAGTGTTCTCATTTTGAGACTGCTTTGGAGTAGAACAGCCGTTTGTTTGTGCAAACAATGTACTATCCTCTACTATCCTAACGTTTGATTTGCGTACATTTTGAAAGGATTTATCAATGAAGC